CACGGCCCCGCCCCTCAGCCGTGCCCCCGCCCTCCCCTCAGAGCACCCCCAGCTCCCCCAAAGCGGCTTCGGGGCTTCCAAAGTGCCGAAATCTCCAAACAAACAACACCTGAGTGGCCTCTCCTCGTTACCCGGTACTGCAGTCCCTCACAGCACCTCCTTTTCCTTCCTCTCCTGGCTCTCCTCCTCCTGAACGGGTGCTGGGATCCCTGACAGAAGCCGGGGCTTGGCTTTCCCGCCTTTCCATGTCTCCAGGCGCTGGAACCCCTCACAGCACCTGTCTTTCCCTCGTCTCCTCGTTCAATCCCTGAGCCAACCCAGCTGGGGAAAGCCCATGGTGGGGGTTGGAATGAGGGGGTCTCTGAGATCCAACCCACCCCATTCCATGGAATTCCACGGCATTCTGAATTCCACGAGCCCGGAAGGATCGAATCCCACCCGTGCTGTTGGAGCTGACCCGGCCTCACAGGAACTCTGCCAAGGCACCGGTGACAAAGCCACACAAAGCTGATGGCTTCCAGCTCTCACCCTGCCACGGCACGACTCCATTAACACAGAACCACAATTTAATAACTGCATTGTTCAATTTATCCAGAGGTAAAAGTCCTCTTCAGACCTGTCCCCATGGAATTCATCATTTTACGTCTGGAAACTTAGAACCTGTTAAGCAGGACAGGGCAGCCTGAGCCCTGTCAAGTTCTACATTGAGCACAAGGAATTAAAAAAGAAATGTCAAAATAAATAGCACAGGCTGGGAAAAAGCACTTTCAGAAGCTATTTTCAGCAGACAAGAGCTGACCTTCCCCTCATAAAATGCCACGGGGTATAAATAGAGCAGCCTCTCATGCCATTTGTCATGAAACCTTGTCTGCCTGCCCCGAGCTCCCTCCAGCAACAGGACACTCCTCTCCCTGTGCTCAGAGCAACCATTACAATTAACAATTAAAAAGCATCTATTTCTGAAAAATCACACAGCACAAACCAGACCGAGAAGGAACCTTCCCACCTCCCTTCTGACCAAACATTTGTTCTGCACAGCTCTCTGTGCCATCCCAGCACTGCCCTGGGTTTTGGAACGCTCTCCAGTCACACTCACACTGCAGTGTGAGCCACCAGTGGACACAAACGTAACCTGATGGAATTCCAAGGCACATTTCAGCTTTCCAGAAGACAATGAGCAGACAATGAGTTGCTGTGCATCTCCCTCTCTGCAATTACCCCGTGGGAAGGCAGCTCTTGCCAGCGCTGGATCAGTTGTGTTCAACACGATCCTACTGGCACAAATAACATCTCTCAGGAAAAACAATTCCCAAAAATGCAGCTACTGGGGTATACACAGTGTATTAGACTGAAAATTGAGCAGCAGAGCAGCAACGTGACTCAAGGACACAGAACTGGGACTGAACATGGTGTTGGTGTTTGTGTACTGTGTATTAGGAACAAAATTATCTCAAAGAGGGGAAAAAAATAAAGAAAAGACAGGTTTGAACCAGACAAGGTGGCCATGCCAGCACCCCACACTGTCACAGGTGAAAGTAGCTCCTCTCCCACTAACAACAATCAAGAGACACATTTCACTTGCAGGCAAAACCTGGCTGCTGTAGTGTAGCTTGGTTTTATTTATGTCCACAAATATTTCAAAAAAATTACAAAATACTCAAATGGAGAGAACACAGAAGTCACGATTTCTGGGTTTCTACTCTGTTTACACTGTGTTATCCCATGGCAAACTACTCATATATACATTAAGCTTCAAGATATATATAAATGTAGCAGTCAGAATGTACACTCTGCTTTAACGGTGCAGTGAAACAAGCTCAACCATGACGACATAGAACAAGAGAGACGTTTCAAAAACACTAAAGCAAAATTTAAACTTTTGGAACAGAGGAAAAATAAGAGAGATTTCTTGAAAGAAAATCAAAAGGTCTGGGTTGTTTTTTTTAACACCGAGATGGCTTCAGAAGCCACCGCAGGTAAAGTTGTAGTTAATCACTGGGCTAAAATGGAAGAATTCAGTGCTTATTTGCTGAATGATGTGAACAAAAAAGCTCCCATAAATTATTAGAATGCACTTCTGGGGAAAAAAAATATCAATGAACAGCTTTAGAACAGACTGCAACTTCAGCTGAAAAATAAGGAATACAGAGAGGACCACTGGAGGGAATTAGCTTTTCCTTTTTCTGAAGAACTACGGCTAAAAAACAGCAAGAAAAGGGTCAGAAAAAACAGGTGAAGTGGCTGAAGTCTCCAAAACTCCCCAATTCCACATGGTGAAACAAAAGGAGGGGAGAGATTGAACTGAAATGTGCCTGATGAGACCTTTAAAACAAACTGAGGCACTCTCTGCTGAGCAGGCGCATCCGCCTGGCTGCTCAGCCGTGAGCAAAAACAATCCCTGTTCCACAAGGAAACCCTGTCCCCCATCACTGCCCACAGCCATGGACAAGGACTTCACCTCCCTCCATTCTGAGGGTTGGACCTCGTGGTTCCCCACCTGAGAAACACAACCTGCTCCTCTCAACACCTTCACCCAGAGTTAATCACTGCAGGACTGATTAAACATCACAGCACTGAGCAATCTGCAGCGGAGCACAGGAAAAAGGGAAAATCAGCTGAAAAATCCCCTGCTCTCCCCTCTACTCTTGCCTTGGTGGGCCTAGGACATTTTTAACTGGTGAACTGTCTGCCAGCAGCTCTGGGCTGAGCAGCAGGAGGTGGACGAGCACTGTGTGCCTGCAGCTGATTAACTACAACTTTATCAGAGTGGCTCAGTACAGTCCTAGGACACAACCATCACACTGAACAGGCTACAACAGCAGAGAGAGCACTCGTGAGTGGAGAGAAGAGAATGGGGGGAGTTGTGCACCAGCAGAAAAAATGACCAGCAGGTTCAGATGTCCATTGGTCACATCACCCTCTGCTCCAGCAAAGAAAAACTGTGGCAAAAAAGGGGAAAAAAACCTTTAAAAATCTGCCTCGTAAGCAGAGCTGTCTCCATTAATGCTCACTGTGTATTCCTCTCCTCTCCCCATCCTGGTGAAAGCAGCCAACAGGAGTTACCCTGCAGGGACTGTGGGGTTGGGAGGCAGTAAATGTCACTGTCCATGGATCCCGCTCATCCCAGAGCAGTCAGTTCCTGAAGGACACAACACTGGTGGCAGTTGAACAGTTTTTGCTTATTAAAAACCCAAACTTAAAACACTCAAAGAGAAAAACAAGACTGGTCTTCGCAACACAACTTTATGAACACCAAGTTGCCAAGTCCACTTTTCTTAAGAATTTAATCAAACAGGAGGCCAGGAAAAGCACGTCCTCCCAAAGTACGCACAGGCATACAAAATTCTGGCTGCACTAGTCTGAGCCATGGAACATCTTTAAAAAGAGATTTTTAGAACTATTATTTCTCTGAACTTTCTGCCCAAAGTCTAAACCCAACGGAGCTAGATTAAGTTTCAAAAGGTCACAGGAAAGAAGTGTTTTATGGCCACACTGAAAATGAACTGTTGAAGGTGGCATCAAAAGGGCCAGTGGGGTCCAAGGGACATCTGAGCTGCTGAGAAACCCAACTCAACAAAATCAGCTGCAGAACAGAGAGATGGAACACGAACAAAAACCCCCAAACAACCAAACCAACCAAAAAACCAAGAACAGAAACAGTCATTTGCAACATTATCCCTGCAAATCCCTTTAATGCTTATTGTTGATATCAAACCAAATTTCAAGCTTTTACCCATTTGAAATTATTGATACCCATCATTCCCTTTAATTAAAGGGATAATTATATATATATATTTTATTAAAAAATCAACTCTGTATTCTGTCAATACCAGGTAGGAATTCACAATTTGTGATGTTACTGAAAATCAAGATAAACGTTTCTGGAGTTTGTTTTGTTTTGTTTCTCCCCTCTACCCAAAAAAAGTTATTTACAGACTTAAAAAGCCATGCTGCAGAACTGAGCTCTCTTTAAAATTATGAAGATTTCCTACAATGTATTAAAATAAAAGTAGATTTTTTATTATTATAGCACTTGGATTCAGAGCTTGTTATGTCACCTACTTGCAATCCTTGTTTTTTTTTTTAGTTACCTATAGATGCATTGAGTGTCCCTTCACGCACAGTAAGAAAAGAAAAGAAAAGAAAAAAAAAACCAAGATTGCAGGAAGTTCTCTGAATATTCCACACGGTCCTGTATTTCCAATAGGCTTCTGAATACGTTTTCATGCAGGGAGACCCACACCAGTCTTGAGAAATCTTCTCTACAAATGAACACTATGCTGATAAGTCTCTACTTGTTGGGTGGTTGCTTCTGTTTTAAATATATAAAGAAATCTTTATAAGATATTCTTTTCCTTTTGTAGCTCTTCTTGTATGTAAAAATGTTCCACTCCTTCCCAAGGACTGGGGTTTCCATAGCCAGCGTTACAAATAAATAATTTATTACAACTGTTTGTCGCCTTCTTTTTTCAGTCGACTGCAAGAGAAAGAAAACTCATTTTAACACAACAAAGGAGGTGTCAGACACAGGAGACTGCTCTGCCCTCCTGCTCAGCCCTGCAGGGAACAGGGCTGCAGCTTGGGAGCTCTGGGCACCACCCCCAGCACAGGGAACCCACCCGTGGGCACGGTCACCAGTGCCAGCCCTGCAGATGGGACATGTGACAGTCCCTGCCAGGCTGGAACCGGGCTGGTGTCACACAGGCAGGCCAGAGAACCCCTCCAGTGTCACCCCCCCCCGAGCATTCCCAGGAGAAGCAGCCCCGTGATTCCTCCAGGCATTCTCAGGCTGCACTACTGGACCCCTGCAATTCCACACTTCGATTTCCTACTGCCCTCAGTCATTCCTCAGGATTTACTGAATTCCTCCACGTTCTGTTCTCCTCCATAAAGCTCTGCCCACCCTCCCCTGCAGTTCTCAAGGAAGAGAAAGAGGTGTGGAAGCAGAAATTGCACTGAATATCCCAATAAAATCCCCAATCAGAGGGGATGCTGCAATAGGACACTCAACTACTCTCATCCTGAGCCAGAAATTTGGACCTCACTTCCCACCTGCCCAAACCAGGTCTCAGCACAACTTCACCTGCAACTGCATTAGGTCTCAGCACACAGCAAGAGAGGCAAAAATTCAGAGGAAAAAGGAAGGAATGTGGAGAAATATGATGGAATTCCCAGGTCCCCAAAAGCCTTGATTCCAGTCTCACCTGTAATAATCTTCCTGACTGGGTAGGTGCCCGCCGTGCATGTGAGGGTGCCCGTGCAACCACTGCTGCTCCATTGCCAGTCTTTGCAGCTCTGCGGACTGGGCGTGCATGGCCTGCAGCTGGTGGGCTGCTGACATGGGAGGTGGAATGGCACCAGGCAGATCCCGAGGGTAGGGAGTACCTGGGGACAGGGACCACTTTCACACTCTTGTTTGCTTCTTGTTCCGCCCAACCAAGCACCACAACCGCCCAAATCACAGCTCAACTCCCCCCGCTGAGAAATGCTGAAGCCCACAATAGAAGACATTTCAGATCAAAGCCAACCTTTGCAAAGGACCATAAAATGCTCTCACCAAAGACTGGATGTCGGAGCATTTCATGCTCGTGAGGTGGCTGCCCTAGCAATGGGTTTGGGATGGTCCCAGGTGGGTAGGGAAAACGTGCCAGGTGGGGTCCAGCTGCTAAAGGATCCACCAGTGGATGAACAGGTCCTGCTGAGCCTGAGAGAGAAGGAGAGAAAGCGTCCATCAGCTGCCTGGGGACTGCAGAGGAACACAAAGCCAGAGCACTTCCCTCAGCTGGTGCACAGCAGAAATGTGGAGTCATTTCACCCCCTGTTCATCCCCAATCCAAGGAGACACAGGGGTTATAACAGCCTTGAGCACCGGAGGAGCCACTTGGAGCAAGAACCTCCCAAGAGCCCCTCACTGTGTTTGAACCTGGCAGAGCACAAAGCCAAATTACTTCTCAAACACACAGACTTGGCAGTGAATTGACTTGGCTGTGTCTGCAGCAGCCTCTCTCTGGACTGGGAGGGACAATGTACAAGCTGTGTTTTTGTCCAGAACAAGCACCTGGGGAGCATCCAGACCTACCTGCACAGAGGGGCTCAGTGACTGCCTCACCTGGCAACAGAATCCTTGTACAGACGTGGCCTAAGTCCCGCTTCCTCTGCCGAAGGGGGTTTGCAAACCTGCAGCTGAGCCCATCTGTGAACTCTGCAGTGAACCTCAGCAGCTTCAGGAACGCTGATACATCCAGCACTGCCACTCCTGCCTGCACACCCCCAGCCCTTGAGAACCTCACAGCACCCTGCTGCTTTCCTTGCTGTTCAATCTGGGTTCTGCAACAGCACTCACATTCCCTCCAGCTCCAAAAGTGGGCATCCCAGCACATTTAATGGACACTGCTCCAGGGCAAAGAACGCTACATCTGCTTGCACAAACACTGCATTACTAGCCACACACCAGAACCTGCATTTTAAGTACTCTCACTTTTCTCCCCACCCCTCACTTGGCAGCTGCAGCACCTGGTGCCTGGCTCTCTCCAGTCTGTCACCAGAGAATGTCAAGATTTCTAAGTGCCTCATCTCCAGGACTCCAGACCTCTGGAGCAGTAACCATGTATCTTGCTGCAGAACTGGGCACAGATTCATTTGAGAGACTATTAATTATTACAACTGTAAGGTGCTGCTCTAGGACAGCAGTACTTAACCAACCAGCAAACCTTTCACAGTGAGAGTCTGAAGGAAGATCACTGTGGTGCTACCACCCTGCATCACTCCCACAAAAAGTAACTGCATTTTGGCTATCACAGCCTTCCACAACACAGACACGAAGGCAGGGATTTTGCTGTTTGAGTTCCAGGGTCAGAGCGGGCCCGTTCCGAGCTGTTCCCTACTCAAGTGCCCAGCTCCCAGGGCTCACCTTGGTGTAGGGGGTCCTGCTGGTGTAGGTGTAGATGCGAGTGTATGTGTGAGTGTTGGTGGTGGTGGGGGGTGACGTTGAACATCTGCAGCCGCGCCAGGGGGTCGTTGGTGAGCGAGGCCATGCGCTCGGCGTGGATGCGCTCGGCCGCCAGCCTGTCCGGGTAGCTCATCTCCGGCCGCAGCTGTGGCCCCGCCAGCGCCAGTCTCTCCCTCTCCAGGGGGTTCAGCCCCGGGTGGAAGGAGGCGAAGGGGTGAGGCCCCGCCGTGGGTGGGATAGTCAGTGCCCCGTGCCTGGCGAAATGCTCCATGGGGTTGGTGGCCGGGTGCAGCGCGTCCAGCTCCGGGGGCTTCACCTCGAAGCCGGGCTTCATCCTCTCGCGCAGCTCCCGCTCCCGGATCTCGCGCTCCCGGATCTCCCGCTCGCGCAGCTCCCGCTCCCGGATGGTGGGGTCCACGTTGTAGAGGCCGGGCATGTGGTAGGCCAGCAGCGGGTCCGTGGGGTTGAGGGGCACGAAGAAGGGGTGGTTGCGGTTGGTCGGGGACATGACGTGGGGCCGCGCGTACTCGCTCAGCGTCCGTAGCGCCGGCGTGTCCGGCCCGATGTAGGGGGGCACGGCCGCGATGGTGGTCGGGGGGGGCTCGAAGGAAGGCCTCATGTGGGCTGGCCCGCTGAGCTGGGACTCGCCGAGACGGCCCTCGTGGGAGGAGCTGGACACCTTCTGCTGCACACAACGGGGAGAGAATCTCAGGTCAACACAGAGCTTAGAGCACCTCACACGCACACACAGCTCCCCTCTGCCTCCAGCCCCTGTTCCAGGAGACCACTCATGTGCCTGCACGGCGGCACAAAGGCACTCACTGTACCTGCACAGTGCTCTCCTACTGCAAGGTCAATGTCAGCTCTTGGCCCAGTCCTGCCCAGCTGCTCTGGCTTCCCAAAGAACCAGACCAGGGGCAGAAACTCTCCATTTCCTTCAAGGAGAAAACAGTCCCTGGCAGGTCAGGAGGTGCTCAGATGTATGGACTGGATTTCAGTCCACACACAGAGCCGTGCTCAGAGACCCCTGACAGGATTAAAGTGCTCCTGGGAATCTGCAGCCTGCAATCATCACCCAGGTCAGATCCAGCCATTTTGCTGTGGCAAAATTCCCTTACCCAGCTCCGAGCCAGAACAGGACCTACCGCAGCTCTTTCCGCTTCTCTCTCACGCTCACGCTCCCTCTCTCTTTCCTTCTCTTTTTCTTTTTCTCTTTCCCTCTCTTCCCTGGCTTTCTGCTCTGCTTCCCTTTTGGCCTTTTCGATGGCCTCTTCTCTCTTCTTGGCCAGTTTGGATCCTGCCAGAGGCATGAAGTACAGGTCTGCCCTGGAGCATGAATTGTAGCCACGGTCAAGGTGCTTATAGAACCTGAAAGGAACACAAGAGAAAGAGCTCAGCCCTGGCAAAGGTGCAGGAGTGTGGGATTTGAGAGCTGTATGCTTAAACTATTATCATTCTACATTCAAACACTACCAGCTTCCCAGAAAGCCAGGAGAAAATTAACAGTACCATATCGGCCCACAGGCAGTATAAAAGCAAGGAAAGCAGAGCACAGCTCCGTACCTGGCTGACTGACTGGCGTGGCTTGGGATATCCACCACGGTGGGCTCTGGGGATGGACTCCGGGGTGGAGGTGGAGGGCTCTCCGGCTCCTCAGCTTCATCTGGGACCTCCTCCTTGATCTGGATGGGTGGCAGCGTGCAGGCTGTCACCACGGGCACGGTCCCACTAGAAGCTGCTGACGTGGAGATGGGGGTCTGAAGAGGGATGCCAGGCACGGTGGGCGGCGTGGAAGTGGAGGGGCACGAAGGAGGCGTGATGGAAGGGGGGCCCCCGGGCACAAAGGGGTGCTGAGAGAAGGGGGGCTGGGAGGAAACCTGATGGAGTCCAGAGGGGGGGTGACTGGCAGGAGGGGGAAGGCTCTGGCTCTGGGTCAGAACAGGAGGCTGGGCTTGCGAGGACTGCAGTGGTTGGCTCTGAGGCATCAGCTGCAGGGGAGGAGGGTGTGCGGATGGAGGGTGGTGAGTCGAGAGCGAGCTCAGAGGCTTCAGCGCGGGCGGCGGAGGCAAGTTGGAGTTCATGGAGAACGGAGAGGGCCCAGAGAGATGGGGAGGGTGCTTGTGGGCCGGAGCAGCG